TTGTATAGACTGCCAGTGTCAGTTTACAAAGCTGTCAGAAAACATTCCCATCTTACTGCCATCTCAGTAAAAGTCCAGCAAGGATGAAACATGCTTAGGAGCTTGTGCTGTATGTACATTTGTTTTGAGTAGCTGGATATGTCTATTTCGATTAAAATACCTAGAATGTCAGTCTAAACGGAGAGATCTGTTCCATCCATCCTAATTGTGGTCTCGCTGAGTGACCGCTTAATTAAAGGACTGACATTCTCTGTCAAATCCGTTTAATGAAAATTATGAGGATGAGAGAGGAAACAACACTGTTGTTGTTAGTATACTTTATATGTCGACTGTGAGTGAATTCCCTCAAGTGAATAGTTCTGCTTAAATTTGCTGCCAAAAGGAGCTGGTTATGTCACTTTTCATTTTAAGATGGAATTCTTAGACCTCATTTTCACGAATCTCAAGTTGGTGGAATAGCTTAAAAATAAACCAGTCAGTCATACGAGGATGATGTGAAAAGTCCTTTGAGAGGTCATACTGTATACTTTCCAGTAATGACACTGAATTTACCACTAAAGCACCTTCACAGATTTTACATTTTGACAATTATTTTTCTTCACTATTGCCATTTTAACCCAAGAAGTTAAGGGGGGTAACACTGACCCAACAGGGTTTATTTTATTTTTTTAATATATTTTTTTATTTTTTGCCAATATTTCAGTTTCTGACTGTTAATCTCATATTTTGTGTTAAAAAAAGATTGTAAATGGGCCAATGCATTTACTATAGCATTTTGTCCTAAATCAGAGAGGTCAAAACATTTAGCTGGCCCTGTTTGTATGGGTCATTGCTAAATAATCTGCAAAAAATTGCCATCAAATTAAAATTTGTCACATAAACAATCAAATTCTTAAATAATTTCATTAAATAAAGCTAAAAACAAGATGCCTTTTCTTTGAAGAAAACCATTAAATCAAGTATAAGTCATTTTGAAAACTTGAATCCAGTCGGCATGAAATGGAAATTCATTCAATGAAAATTCAATTCAATTTCTACTTAAAATATCAAAATTTGATCTTCCTGTGAAAACAAAAGCCCTTTCCTTCAAGCTCGCATTCAGATTTGACTCCATATAATTAATAACCAAAGGATAAACCAAGTCCCCAACCTACTTTTTTTTCCTTCAGTAATCAGTTTCATTCGGATGTACATCACAATGCAAAAGAAAAGGTTTTTCACTACTTCCGTTACATCGCTTTAAGCATTCATGTTTTTTGGCTCATGCATTCTAGGGTCAAGTAAATGGAAAGGCATTTTATATACAGTATACACTGTGTTCCGAGTGTCAAGTCACACTGAGGACAGTGTCAAAAGTCTTGTCCTCTGAGAGAGGTCTTGGAATGTGTACATTAGCCAGCTGGTCATGTCTCTGGCCATCTGTGCTAACGGCTGAAATTAACATCCTCATGGGAACAATGATAATAAGTGAATAAAATGATGAGGAAATGTACCCAGACAATTCAAACTCAAATCACCAGAAAATAAGATCTGCCTTAATGGCACAAAAAAGTCTGCAAATCCCAGACAAAAGCTCCTTGCACTCTGGATTGCCGCTAGGTGTAGTATATTAGTCTATCCGGGATGTGGAGCAGTCAAATGCGTTGTTGCCAGGGGAACCATCTATAGATAGTATGTAAGGAGATGTTGTATGCACACATGGACAATAAAGAGCTTCCTTAGGGCTTAAAGGAAGAGTTCACTCAAAAATGAATACTTGCTGAAAATTACTCACCCTCACGCCAGCCGAGATGTAGTTGAGTTTATTTCTTCATTGGAACAGATTTGGAGAAATTTAGCATTACATCACTTGCTCACCACTGGATCCTCTGCAGTGAATGGGTGCCATGAGAATGAGATCTCAAACAGCTAATAAAAACATCACAATAATCCACTCCAGTTCACCAACTAATGTATTGTGAAGTGAAAAGCTGCACGTTTGTAAGTTTTACAAAATTAAGGCGTTTTAACATTAAACCATCAATTCTGGCCAAAATACCATAATAATGCTTCCTTCAGTGAAAAAGTCCATCCCTGTTGTCCTCTCACATCAAAATCCACCAACATATTATTTTAGAACTGTTTTCGCTTGTAAACGGTGCTTGATTTGTGCATATTTCTTTCCTGATTCAGACAGGATTACTTTTGCTCTGGAGAAAGCAATATTATGGATACAGGACTTGTATTTTAGACGGAAGCAACGGTTTTATTTTAAAAACATCTTGGTGGATTTTCACTTCACAAGATGTTAACTGATGGTATGGAGTCATGTGGATTACTTGTGGATTATTTTGATGTTTCATTAGATGTTTGAACTCTCATTCTGATGGCACCCATTCACTGCAGACGATCCATTGGTGAACAAGAGTCAAATTCTTGGATGGGCTGAGTACATTTTCAGCAAATGTTCATTTTGGGGCAAACTATTGCTTTGATTAAAGTGCTCTTAAAGACATTATAGGTGAGTGAGATTCTAATTATAAGTCTGAGCTATCTAAATTGTGATTATTGCGTATGCTTTTTTGAAACTGATATTTCAAGGGGGAAAAAAACTTACATACAGATGCTTTAAAGTAATTGGAAAATCATAAGTTGCCATGACTTATTGATCATATAATTTCTTTTTTCAGTGAACCAATTCAGAACATTTAAAGTGATTTCCCCAGAGACAAAGACAAAAGTGCAAATAAGGTCATCCAATACAGCTTTGCTTTTTTCTTACCACCACTTCATCACAATGTAAGAGAGGTGGTTTATAACAAAAGGAAAACAAAAAAGATTTGACTAATTGTGAATATTAGAATATCAAAAATAACATGCATCTAGCATCAAGTGTGCTCAGCCTTTTGGGAAAAAAAAGACATGACAAATGAATTTCTCCAGTGAATTAGTTTTATCTCAGTAGGACTGGGTGTCCTCTTCATGTCTCAGCTGTTTTGATCTGTGTAAATTCACACTGGGAGAAAAACAACGTGTGAGCAGTCAGAGTACGGTGAGCAGCTGTAAGGCAGCTGAGATGATTCTGCCATACATCAGAGTGATGGAGCGGGTCTACACCTGTTTTTCAGGCGGTAGTGCACAGACAGCTAGGAGCGAAATGACCCGACTAAATGTCTGTACTGCTGAGATACAGCCTGGCTTAGGGCACAGGTTTGTTGCCATGGCAGTGCACCTAGTTTGCCTGTAGAGATGTTCTACCAAATAAATGTGGAGGTGGAACTTCATTGGAAATATTTCAAAGTAAAATGGCGAATCTCACAAAACTGAAAGATTCAGACTGAAAATTATAGTTCACCTCAAAAACTGAAAGAAAGAAATACAAAATGATATAGTGCTTATATAAAAAAGGATCATTACAATTTATTTATAATTTTTTTAGATTTAGATTAGAATTTTTATTTTTAAGATTTACATTATAGTCATGACACTTTAAAAAAAAAATACATTCAAGCACATTTTACCCTCAAATTCTTATTACTACATAGATAGATAATAGATACAGTAATAAGACATAATATAATTTAAATTGCATATATTTATAATGTAATAAATGGTAAATGGCTAAATAAATGGCTGTCCTATTTTGTATTATTTGTTGTACTGTATTTATGCTAATTTTTTTTAAGCTATTGAGAATAATACGAGAATAACAATTATTGACAATAAAAAAAAATAAAAATGAAAATGCCCAGACACATTATGGCAATGAGGATTTGGGGAGAAGATTGTCAAGAGCCACAATTTAAAGAAATCTTAATCATTCTAAAATAGATTTAATTCACAAAAAAATTCTTGTTTTCTGGGATTTTCAAATGTTTTTAATTTTTACTTTTTTTTTTAAATAGAAAAGAATATTGGATGGCTGAGTACTTAACATTTAAGGTAATCAAAATAATTGGATTTACTTGTCAACTAAAGGTTAATTAAGAAATGTACAATATAAACAAATGAATCATTTATCGGCATGGCAGAAGTCATTTGAATCTGTAAATACAGGCATGTATTGACTTGCCAAAAGGGTCTTATCACCTCTTCATTGTAATGTTTTCTTCACTTATCATTTGTTTTTATTAACCGGGCAATTTGTATTGATTTGAAATGAATTGGACTGTGTGAGGGTACAGAGAAATGTTCTTGGAACAGATGACTCGCTTCTCACTTTGTCTTGCACCTGATGGACTCCTCCCACCAGTGGCTCAAATGACAATAAAAGGGCACATCGTTATTTACAAAGCACACAAAAAGAGAAAAGCTTTTCTGACAATACAGTGCTGTACAGAAAAAAAAAACATGTGTGCTGTTAAACATCTGTGAAGCAGATCACATTGAAAATAATCAGACCATTTTTAAGAAACATCTGAATTTAATTCCTTAAGCTTTGCAGTACAGTTCAAACTATCTTTGTTTGATTTTCTCAGTATGAATTAAATGTCAACATTAGATCTTGAACAATACTGCCACCTAGAGTTGAAATGGAATATCCACAATATAGACAGGCTGAAATATTACACTGCCAACAGTAGTTCAACATTGGCATAACCTATAAAAAATGACATAGATATGGTAGTAAATATTTCAAAACCATCATAAAATTGCTTGAGATACTGGCAAAAATATATATAAAAAGAAATCCTGGATAATGAAAGGAAACATGTTCCATGTTGAAAAACTCAATGTATATTATTATTACATTCATTCTAGATTGTAATAAGACTGAGGCTTCAGAAAATAACGTTTTCTTTTGGAAAGTTTAATTTGGAATGTTTCACTTTGTCTAGTCTTCATTAAAACTTTTAGAAATGCTTAGCTTCAACAGATTTCTGACAAATATTTCGCCTGGCTTTCATTTGATTTTAGTGTATATGAAAATACAGTGCAATTTCATATTTTACTCAGTATAAAAATATCAATTTATGTATCTAAAGTTACAAAATGAATCCTAACAAAAACATAAAAGGAAGCTCAAGAAATGGTTGAAAAAAGTAAAAAGGCTGTGCAAAATTGTTTTAAAAAACACCATTCCCAAGTGATATATAAATGGAATAGTTTATAAAAAAATGCTGTTTATTTACTCACTCTCAGGCCATACAAGATGTAGGTGACTTTTTTCTTCAGCAGAGCATTAAAGATGATTTTTAGGTAAACCCATGGTGATTCATACAATGCAAGTCACTTTGAGAGGAAAATATCGGATAATAAAACACAAAATGACATCCCCACGGCTCCTGATGATATATTGAGATCTTATAATGATAATTGGTCTGTGTAAGAAACTAAACATTATTTCGAACATTATTCCCTCTAATAATTCATAGCCTCAGATATAGGGTCCTGTATTCTTACCTTTTCTCTCATATGATGTATGTGTGGATGTGAACAGACAGCGTTGTTGTTTACAACAGAGAGGGAGGAAGCATATGCAGAAGGTGGCTTGGTTTTAGCAATAAATTTATACTTGTATTGTTCGAAATGGTATTTTCTTTCGATCCTGTTGTGTAAGCTCACATTCGCGCATTTGTCTGAGGCTATGGATTACAGGTAATAATGTTGTAAATAATGTTCAGTTTCTTACACAGACTGATTGTTTAGCTTCATAAGACTTCAATATTTATTTTCACTTTTAAAGTGACAGTACACCATTGACTTGGATTTTATGAATCACCAATTACGATGGGTTCAACTCAAAATCTGCTACTGTTCTACCTAAGAAAGAAAGTCACCTAGATCTTGGATAGCCTAGGTAAATCAACAGCAAAATTCCATTTTTGGGTGAACTATTCCGTTAACATTACAATAAAAACCTTTCATAAATGCACAAACATAGTCTAGTCTGTTGTGGTCTTGCTAAATATATCACAGATGCTGAGCTGAGTTTTAGAAACCGTCAGCGCCGGATACAGTGGCTCAGTGAATGTATGCTCAAAACTGTAGAGCAAAGAAAGAGATCCCTCCCTGGCCACGCTATAAAAAGACAAGCGACCCTCACTAAAATTCAGCAGCACCCCAATCTTCCAGAGCTCAGCGGAACACACAGGTGATGCCACCTTATCGTGTAGGGCTTCCACCTTTCCCTTCTCATAAATTATACACCAAGAATTGGGGTAGAAGCCAATACGGCAGATGTCCTTTTGCCCCTTTCTGCCTATCTGTCCATCACAGACCCCCACCTTCCAGCGGCCCTCATCCAGAGGGACCTCCACTTCCCAGTAGCAGCGGCCTCCATCTATGGCACGAGAGCCCAGCACCTGAGGGAAAATGTTGAAGCGTGACTCCTGCTCGGGGTAGTCCTGCTGGGTCTCGCTGTACTGCACCGTCCTGTTCTCATCCGACAGCAGCAGCTTTGGATGGACAGTATCGGGATCCAGAGTTGGGCTTATCCCATCTGCAGACAGAAACATCAGCTGTCAAACATAATATTTGTGTTTGCCAAAGTCTTCCTGTAGCACCAATTAATAGTTTCACTTCACCAGGCAGCACATGTGAGCAACAAAGACAACAAATGACAAAATACTATCATAATAGTTTAATGAAGATATATATACCCTACTGTATGTAAGTACAGTAGGGTGCCTGAGGGCAATTATAATATTTTATAAATTTTCTTTCATAACTCAGAGACCACTAGAAATCCACCTTTCATCATTTGATACTTAAAAAACCCAAATATATATACGTATATATATATAACTAAATATAAAGTTCAAAAGTTCGGAGTCTGCAGGATTTTTTTGTTTTTGAAAGAAGCTTATGCTCAACAGGGTTGCATTTATTTGGTAAAAATAAAAAAGTAACAAAAAATAATATTGTGAAATATGATAACAATTTCAAATATTTGTTTTCTATTTTAATAAGGTAATTTATTCCTGTGATCTTAAAGCTGAATTTTCAGGAGTCATTGCTAAGTGTCACATGATCTTTCAGAAATCAATCGAATCTAATTGTTGAAAATGGTTAGGAAATGTTATTTTTCTCATCATTCTTTTGATTTTGATTCTTTAATGAATAGAAAGTTAAAAAAGAACAACATTTATTTGAAATAGAAATCTTTTGTAACATTATAAATGTCTTTACATACAATTTACATCCTTGTTTAATAAAAGTATTATTTCTTAAAAAAAGAATCTCACTGAACCAAACCTGTTTACCATTATAGTATTACAATACAATAAAAACAATTATCATAATATCACATTTTATTGCTAAGCATTACAATAATCTTAATTATTAATAATACTGAAAAGTTTAATCTTTAAGGGGTAGTTCGCTCAAATAAAAATTCTCTCATCATGTACTCACTCTCAGATTATTCCAAACCTGTATGAGTTTCTTTCTTCTGTTGAACATATAAGAAGATATTTTGAAGAATGTTGCTGGTCCCCACTGAAAATACTATGTAAGTGAATGAGGACCAGAAACTGTTTGGTTACCCACATTCTTCAAAACTTCTTCTTTTGTGTTCTGAATAGAAACTCATACAGGTTTGGAACAACTTGAGGGTGAGTAAATGAAGAATTATCCCTTTAATATAATAGTAATTCTTTTTTTAAAAATGCGACTGAAGAAAAACTGTAAGTGCTACCCACATTATAAATTTTTACAAAAATGTATTATAATGTGTAACATATCTGTACAACTACTAACATATACTGATCAGCTGACTCAAAAAAAGCTTTGAAATGCTTCAGTTAAATTGTATCTTTAAAGCAGCACTATGTAACTTTTTCTGTTCAAAATGTGCAAAATGTATATAATGAGCGAGTACATCATGAACTCATCTTCCAAACCGCGTTTTTGTATTATTTCGAGTTCACTACGGTACACTTATAATAAGTACTTATATTTGGACTATTGTAGCCTGGTCGGGTCGTCACCGCTGCGGAGTAACACATACCTGCGTGAATCGCCATAGACATAAACTTAGAGAAGTAGCTCCGGTTGGAATGTTCTTCCGCGGGATGTGTGCAGTTCTGTTTATTAACCGCTAGAGCGCCAAAAGTTACATAGTGCTGCTTTAAAATGCTCATTAATGATACAATATTTCAGTTCAGTCATACAAATTTGATTTTAAAACTAGTGTTACAACTACACTTAACCTCACAGCCATGATAAAATATTGACAGCAGATACCAGCGACAGTGTAAACATCTGTTATTCATGTTAACATTTAACCAACAACCTAGAAATAACCTAGAGCCATGAAAACATTAGATTCCACATTACTGAAAACCAAACCTAATTCTCAAAAAAAAAAAGTGTTTTCAGATGTGTTTTTCATATTCAAAATATGTAATATAAAAAATATCTCAAAGTATCTCAGACAAAGAACTTTAATGAGCTTGTTCTGAGTTAATATCATCACTATAGCTAATTTTATACGGTCTACCTGTATTATGGTATGATTTATAGTATGAAGTGTGTAAAAGACTCACACAGCAGTCTGAAAGGGTCTCGATGAGGCAGTGATATGAGCACAGTCTCCAGTCTCCTTTCAGTCCAGCCATTGAGACAGTCCAATCGGTTATGGTTTATCTCTTCAGGAGAGTCAAGATTTTGCACAGGGTCAGACAATTCAGTCAGGCTGGAGGAGGACATCACACAGTTATACTTAATAAACATAATTAAATAATAATCAACAAATAACTGAACCATTTTACTTACTGTCCTGCCATCTTGCTGTATTCCTGAAATAAACAGTAGCAGTTGCTTTACATATATGCATTTGTAATTGCATTACTAAAATAAAACAGGGCTCGCAAAATCGCTTGCCCGACATCCCGGGGCTATTGTGTTTTCCAGTCGGGCTACCAAAATGTATCACCACTCTGCCCGACGGGCTATCTTAAATACAGATCTCCCGCGGGTCCTTAAAAACTCCTAAAGTGAGTTGTATCAAACTTAAGGCCATAAAAAGTTTTAAATACGTTAAATGGTATAAGAAATGTCTTAATTATAATTTCAAGAGGTCTTACAGTTGTGGACGGAAAGACAAGCGTCGCGATACGGCTGGATTAAACTTCAAAAGGCAATGATGCCATTGAATAAATATGAGCGCTGCAGGTTTCAAGTCAAAACGGCGCGGATGTCTTTATTTGAATGTATCTGAAGGGAACCGACTGTCCTCAGAAATGTGTTGTTGGTATTTGAATTTCATTTGACCTATAATTCCTGATAAAGCAGAGTTTATGGAGCTGCTTTGTGTACAGCCGTTACCGGGGAAACCGCGCTCCTAAAGCGCCACCTGGTGGCAGAGAATGAATTTGCATTTCCAACAAGCCTTTCTTGCTGTTTATGGTCAGATCAATGCAAATATCAACCCATGTTTTTACGCAGCAAACACATAGAGTCGTAAATGAGAAAGTTAATGTGCCTTCTAAAAATCTAAACAATTAAGACAGTAATATTTATACGTTTTTAACTGACAATAATTTATATGCTTGATTTATCCCTTTTCATAAAAATGGTCTAAAGGCTGAAATGCTGTTGTATAAGACTTTTGTTTTTGTGAAAACCTGTATCTGAACTGTAAATCATGTAATTTTATGGCTCAATACTGTATGTTACCATAGACATTGTCCAACCCCACTCATACTGTGTTCATTTTACTTGTGTAGCTCTTAAAATGGGTCATAAATTGCCTTAAATTTATTTTTTTAAATTCTGCAGATACCCTGTAAATAGTGAAATAAAATTCCTTCCTTCATATTTGTTGATATTTGTGTATTGAAAATATTTTTGATTGATATTTAAACTCCTATCTGATTTTCTATATTTAAAAAAAGGTCTTTTTTTATTTGGGCTAGTTAAATTAATTTTCGGGCTACCAAAATCTGAAGAGTACCTGCCCGAAGGGCTGCCAGGGATTTAGAAATTTTGCGAGCCCTGAAATATCCAAATATGCATAAAAATATTGATATTTCTATTGGATATTTCTATCAGTTTAAGATCACTGCTGCTTGTCATACCATGATAAAGGCCTGGTCCTGGTACTGTGATGCCCCTTCAGCACTGGTCATTCCCTGCAGGGTGTTTACTATGCTCTGGCTAGATATCAAGGCACCCTGTAATGTGTCCAGCTGCTTTTCAATGCTTCCCAGCACTCTGTCCTCTTCCTGGGTCACACAGAGTAATGCCTGCTCCTCCTCTTGCTCCAGAGCCTCCCGCATGGCATGATACTGCTGCAATACGGCCGCCCGTACGTCCTCCAGCCCTGCCTGCAAGAATCACAAAACATGAGGGAAGTGTACACAGACGTACCATTTTATCTGATGCTATTGTATGCTAATTTATTACTATCATTTATAAATAAAACTTTTAGTAATTTTAGTACTTCAACTTAAAATTATTTTATTTCAGTTAGTTGCCAGGACAACATTTTTAATTTTAATTTAAGTGTTTTAAGTCTATGTTTTATTTAATACTGATAGTTTATTTTATTACAGCTTTATTTCAATTAATAAAAATGACTTTTAATAGTTTCAGTTTTAGTTAATAACAACACTGGACAAAGAGAGCTTAAACACACAAACATCTTAAGAAAGCATTTTTAATAACGATAAATCATGTAACAATGTAACAATAAAAACCTCTCTCTAAACTGTAACAACTAAATCAACAAAACATTCTGACACTTACCTGGACACCACGTTTTTTCTCACTGAGCTCCGAGAGTTTTTCCTGAATGGACTTCTCTGTTTTTTGTATTTTTTGCATCTCATCCTTCAGTGAGCCCTGAGAAATTAATGTAGATAAATCAATGAGCAACACCTTTTTTAAAGTAAGAAATTAATACTCCTATTCAGCAAGTATGCATTAAATTGATCAAAAGTAAGAACAAAGACATTTACGAAAGATTTCTGTTTCAAATAAATGTTGTTATTCATGTGAATTGCATTTTAAAATATATTAAAATAGAAAACAGTCATTTTGAATTGTAATATTTCACAATATTACTGTTTACTGTATTTTTTTTAATCAAAATTACTTCAAAAACATTAAATAAATGTTACCAACTTTTGAACAATAGTGTACTACTGTAAATCATATGCCTAAAAACTACAGTTTTAGTAATCTGAATTCTGAGCCAAATATTAAATCACCAGTTAAAATGGAAATGGGGAAATGGTGTTTAAAAATGGTGCTTAAAATCATTCAATAGTGTCTCACCCTGAGCTCCTGCTCTGCCTCGCGGATGCTGATGCACTCGTGCGCCTTGTGCGACCCGACCAGGGAACACACAGTACAAACACACACTGCACATGATCGACAGTAGATCCGGTTCATCTCCTGGTGCTCTTGGCATCTCCAGAGAGACACATCTTCCACAGCGTTCACCAGCGGGTGGTTCTGGAACACCGGCTTTTCCAGGTGTGCCCGCAGGTGCTCGGAGCACATGGAGGCCCCACAAACAAGGCAGGTCTTTACCGCCATCTTCTGTTCTGAACAGTAATGGCAAGGCACATAACTGCTCCTGGAAAGTCTGTCTGATGATGTTGCAGAGATCCTGCGGGGCTCCTCCTGCCTTCCAGGTGTATGAGAGCTGACATTGACTGCTGGTAAGGGTTCTTCTTCTCCCTGAGGTGTGTTGCTTGTCCTGGGTGAGCCTGTGTCACTGCAGGAAGCCACAACATGCTGGTCTTGCTGAGGGGAACTTGTGTTCCTCTCAGGAGGTGATTCTAGTTGAGGAGGTGTGATCTCATCGGTTTCTGGAGGTGTGCGTTGTGAGGATGAGTCATTCGTAGAGGTGGTCCCCCAAACCACTGATGGAGACTGGCTTTCAGAAGAGCATTCGTCTGCTGCGGCCTTTCTTTTCCGCGGTATTGATGTGTCTTCATCAGAGTCAGTGATGCTGATTACATCATAGTGACTGATGTTGTTATGAGATGTTGCTGCTGAGCCCAGTCTGTATCCACCACTGTGGAATGCTGAACTGAACTTCCTCTTCCCGTGCCATTTCCTTGAGTGCCGGTCGTACAGCTTCTTTCCGAATGGCCAATCTACATGAAAACATAGCATTGCATTAATGTATATATAAGGGTTTTTGGTAATTTATTTTATGGTGTCCTTGTTACAGTGTAATAGACCTTAGTCAGGTTAGATGCCATATTGAATTTAATGCAAATGAAAAAGTGGCTGCAAGATAATGGCATGCACCATATAAAAAGTGCTAGATTATGTAATTTTCACAACTCACAACTTTCAAAATTGTTTCATGGAAATACGTTTTGTCAGCTGAAGAATCTGTATGTTGTTAAACAATAGTACAAATCAAAAATTAAATATGGAGCTGCCCTGGCTAAGGTCTATTATACAATTAAGTACTGAGTATTATTAATTACAACACTTACAAATTACATACTTACTTTAGGGTTAGAGTTTGGTTTAGGGTTAGTAGCTGCATGTAATAATGCATAAATTACTATTATTGCTAAAGTATGTACATGTAATGTGTAACAAGGACACTGTAAAATAAAGTGTTACTGGGTTTTTCTTCAGCTATGGGCATTTTTAGTCCTTTTTTTTCCAAGGGGTCAACAAAACTAATTTCAACTGTTTATTTTTGATATATGAAAGAAAGTATAACTGTCTTGAAAACTTAATAATTTCATTTATCAATTTGACATATTTTATTGTTTTAAACTGTCATAGACCCTTTCGATCTTCTTCAGCTACGAAAATAATTTGTACGATTTCTTTAAAATTCTGACAATGATTTCACTCATGAATACATTTTTCAAAAATTACACCTATCAGCTGTGGCATCATTTCCATCACAACAAACAATTTTACCCCAAATAATTTTTTTTAAATAACTTGTTTACCAAAGAGAATATGAGGAGCTTGAGTTGAATTATCTGTGTGGTAAATATCACTAATGAACTAGTTATTTTTTATTGCACAGCTTTTCAAAAGAATTAGTAATTGTAAAATTATACACAAAGTGTAAAAAAAAATATTATTCAATAATGTGTATTAGAACATTTAAAAAAAATCTCAGATATTTTAATCCTAAAATATATATTTAAAAAAAAAATGTAATTTCCATAACAGCATGCTACGAAATATCATGCATAATTTGATATTGCCATAATATTGTGGTGGAAATAGTCATGACTGAAAAAAATACACAAATATCATAATTCTCCCGACATGTACAGTATGTTCGACATTGTTAGACAAATTACATAAACTAGTAGTGAGAGTGTGAAAAGATGTTATTATCAACCTATTCACTATTAAAGCATAATGCTTGGAAACTGATAGGAGACAAACAACTAATCAACTACAACAGATTAACACACAGGAGTAGTTGTGGCCTACAACGCCATGATCAACTTACACATTTGCGCTACAATAACAACATACACATGTTCAAGGTCAACAAAGTCAGCATTTATTTTGTTCTCAGTTAATGAACGTACGTGTGTTTGATGTGGCTGTAGATGTTGACGCTCCGTCCGTGTTGTCTGGCAGATGCTGGCACTCGTATCTACACTCGGGGCAGTAATATGGTCCGGTCTGAGATCCGCTCCACAACTCTCTGATACAAGTGCGACAGAAGCTGTGGGCGCATGCCAGCGTCACCTGCTCCCGACACTCCTCATAACACAGAGGACATTTCAGAGGTTTGTCATTAGATGCGCCCATCTTCAAAAGCTTTATTTACAGCAGATTGCAGAACGACTCTCGATCGAAGAAACGAAACCGACCTAACATAGAGTGGGCGGAGCCGCCCCTTTTGAATCACGAAAACACAATAATTACTCTGCTCTTAAAGCGACGGTGCACAATATTTTCTGTGCATGACGGCATCATTTTATGCTTCTCTATCTATCTATCTATCTATCTATCTATCTATCTATCTATCTATCTATCTATCTATCTATCTATCTATCTATCTATCTATCTATCTATCTATCTATCTATCTATCTATCTATCTATCTATCTATCTATCTATCTATCTATCTATCTATCTATCTATCTATCTATCTATCTATCTATCTATCTATCTATCTATCTATCTATCTATCTATCTATCTATCTATCTATCTATCTATCTATCTATCTATCTATCTATCTATCTATCTATCTATCTATCTATCTATCTATCTATACTTAAAGCGACGGTGCACAATATTTTCTGTGCATGACGGCATCATTTTATGCTTCTATCTATCTATCTATCTATCTATCTACTTTTAAAGCGACGGTGCACAATATTTTCTGTGCATGACAGCATCATTTTATGCTTCTCTATCTATCTATCTATCTATACTTCAAGCGACGGTG